ATCCTGTCCCCGTGTCCCCATGCCCCCACCCCCAGCTGACAACCTCTCCCAAACAGCTCCAGGGGTGTAAAACCCCAGTGGTGTGTCCTTGTTAAGATCTGCCTAGTGAGGGATGCCATCTGCCAAAGCCAATAGTACTGATTTTATTTAACAATAAAATGTGAGGTAGAGAAAGAGATAGAAAAGAGGGAGATAGGAAGAGAGAGGGAGAGAGAGAGAGAGAGAGGTCAAAGAGAAGATCGTCACCATCCTGCAGCATCTGTTGGTCCTTCTTCACCCTCATCTTCATGGTGGTGGGGSTTCCGAGGTTCTTGAAAACTTTCCACTATTTATACATTTTCACAAATGAAGGCGTTAATGCTCATTGGCTACASAGTTCTCTTATTCTATTGGTTAAGTGATTCCCTCGCTTCTAATGCTAATTAATCCCGTGCTCAGTCATTCTCTTGGAATCGGTGGTTACAATCTGCCCCTGTAAGAACTACCTTTTACCCAGCTGGAGCTGATTCCTGCCCRGTGGCTGGGTTGGCGTTCCTTGTGGATTCTTTGTGTCCATTATCGGTGATACATTCTTCTCCCTCCGTTTGTTTACCATCCCCTAATCTGAGATAGTGCTCAAACAACAGCACCACCTTTATTTTATCTCAAATTCCTCTTAGATGGCTTGATGTACAGTACAAGTCTCAGGTGTATTGGGCAGGTGGTTGCAGGTGCTGTCTGTCCCGTAACTTGGGGTGATCGGTGTTTGAGCAGTGATATGTGAGTGTTACCCCTCCAGTTTGCCACCACGGGAGCCCCTGTCGGGATGTGTCACCCAGGATGTGCCAACCAGACCTCACCAGGCCCAGGGCCAGTGCCATCCTGTTGCTCCCTTGTGTGCCCATCTCACGGCAAATCCCTTCCGTGGCAAACACTGAGTGATCTCCAAGTCCTTGCACTTCCCTGCCCTTCCTCCTCCTCTGCTGCTGCACAGAACCTGTCTCCTGTGACCCTAGGGCACCTGGCTGGGGTGACACAAGCTGGGGACGTCTCAGCTGCCACCTGCACTGTGGGGGTGGCTCAGAGCTGGTGTCAGACAAGGACTGGACGTGGATCCCACCTGGATGTGCTGGTCACCTTCCCACACCCCCCTGAGCACCCAGGGACAGCACTGCTGTGACCTGGGGGTCCTGAGATCCCTTTGATGGCACGGCCATCATCCCCAAAAACCCATCCAGAGCCAGGGCTCAAGGCAACAGACTGCAGCAATATTTATTCCTGTACAAACCATTACAAAATGTGGGCACCCCACTGCTTCCCCCAGCACCAAGCCGCCAGAACCCCAGCCACAGCCAGAGGGAAAGGCTTCCTACCAAGGCTCAGCATCCAAACACGTCGTATTTAGTTGTTTTCCCCAAACTCACTTATCTGCTGCTGAGAAATTAGTAACAAAGTTTTGTCCAAAAGGCACCACCAACCCCCACTAACTGTCCACTTCTAAATTGTTTACAAGCTAACGAGCAGCCCCTGCTTGCTCCTCAGTCCAGCAAACCCAAGCACAAACCCCAGGACTAGAAGCGGGGAGAAAAAAGGCCAAAACCCCCCAAAAGCTGCCCAAAATCCCATCTTCCAGCTGGAAAAGGTTCTGGCTGTGTGGGGTGCAGCGATGCTGGGAGAGGCTGGTGTTTTTGGGGTGCTGGGACAGGGAGGGTGGCAATGTCACCCCCATGGGGTCCCACCAAAAACTGTGGGGTTCTGCTGAGGGAAGGATGTCYGAGGACTGGAATGAGGGGGCTGGGGATAGCAGAGGGGGGCTGAGATCCAAGAGGGGTTCTCCCCACCCTGGGGCTCGGTGGGACTTTCTGTGGTGACCCCAGAAGTGATGCAACCCAAAACTGAGCCGAGGGGAGCCGGAACCCCTTGTAGGCTCCCAGGGGCTGCAATGTGCCTGACCAGGATGGGGCAGGATATCRTGCCCAAGTATCCTGCACATGGATGGGGGACACCCCAAACCTTACATTCATCACCTGGCCCCCAAAAACCAGCTCAAAGCCCAGGTGCAAGGAGCCACCCTGTACAACATKAGTGGTCCTGAGGGAGGCAGCTGGTGGCACCCTGATGCCTGATCCCACTGCTCCCAGGGGGATGCAGGGGAACCCCCACCCACCCCAGCTCCAGGGGTCTGCCCAGCGGGCACGGGGCTGCCCCTAGGTCCAGCTGGGGTGGGAGAAGGTGATGTTGTAGAGGCCGGCCCAGCTGGCAAAGACCCTCTTCTCRGTGATGAAGCGGTGGTGGTTGCCCCTGCGGCTCCGCTCGTTGTGGATGTAGGTTGTGCACTCGTCAGGGCCCTTGGGCTCGTAGTAGTGGTAGGGCAGGCGGCGGGGCGGGGGGTGGTGGCTGCAGCGGGGAAAGAAACACTGGGTGAGCCCCAGGGTGGGGTCAGGGGGCTGGGGCGGGGGCTCGGGGGGCTCCTCACCCGCAGTAGCTGGGTGGCACCATGCCATAGACGTGCACGGCGTCACACAGCTCCACSGCGATCACCATGGTGAACCAGCCGGTGCTGAGCCACGAGCGAGACTTCTCCCTGGGGAGGAACAACAGCAAGGATGACAGCGATGAGGTGACGTGGATAATGGACCCTCTCAGCGTTCCCAGCCTGCCTCAGCGACCCCCAGCTCAATGCTGCAGCCCTTGAAGCAGCTCTAAGAGCCAGCTCTGTCTTGGAAAAAGGTGGACACAGCTCTGAGGTGGCTCTGAGRTACCTGTCCTTCCCCGTCTCCCCCCGGAACAGATCATCAAACTGCTTCATGCGGCCGGGGGAGACAACGTAGGCYGTCATGTTGGGGAAGGAGGCGCAGACGCGCTGGATGATCTTCAGGAGACTCTTCTGCATCTTGGTGGGYGGCCCCCAGAAGATGAAGACGGTCTCTGGGGTCTTGTTGACAAACTCCTGGGGCCGCTTGAGGACGCGGTAGAGGCTGGAGTGGGCCACCACGCGGAAGCTGGTCTTGTTGCCCACGTCAGCGTGGTAGCCCGTGGTGGGAGCGTCGTTCATGCGGATGGTGCACTCGGCTCCGTCAATGGCCGTGCCCAGGTGGGTGCCCAGGAGGTGGCTGGAGCTGGTGACAATGACGCATTGGTGGCACCGGGCAGTCAGGGTCTGGTGACGACAAGTGCCGTGAGCAGGTGGTGATTTTTGGTGTCACCGTGGACAGGGTATTCCTGTCCCCTRCGGAGCCAGCGTCCCACTGAAGGGGACAATTCGGCTGAATGCCAGCAGAGGGACAGTCCCCGTGTCACCGCCGAGGCCAGGCCCTCTGCCCAGCTCGTACCTTGTTCCCACAGACGGGCAGGTACCCGCTTTTCACCCCCCACTTCTTGAGGTCGGGGGGCCGGCGGGCTCTGCCCCGCAGGCGGCTGTAGGGGAAGACCTCGCTCCCGTTGCCGGAGCTGTAGATGATCAGCAACATGATCAGGGCAAAGAGGACCCCCAGGGCGGCGGCGCGCTGGCTCTGCGGGCAGGGGGAGAGCATCAGCCGCTGCCCCCGCCCCACGGGTGTCAGCATCCCCCCGCCCCACGGGTGAGAGCATCCCCCCCGCCCCAGGGGTGTCAGCATCCCCTCACCCCATGGGTGAGAGCATCCACCCGCCCCACGGGTGAGAGCATCCTCCCAGCCCCATGGGTGACAGCATCCTCCCAGCCCCACGGGTGAGAGCATCCTCCCAGCCCCATGGGTGACAGCATCCACCCGCCCCACGGGTGAGACCATCCCTTCACCCCATGGGTGAGAGCATCCTCCCCGCCCCACCGCATCTCCCGCACGATGGCTGCTGTCCCCTGCAGGTCCCCGGGGTGATTCCCCGGCACTCACCGCGTTGCCACTCATGTCTCTGTGCCAGCCTCAGCGCACMGTGATCGCCGGCGTCCCGCGAGCACCTGCGAGGCAAATGGTCACCCCTCAGCCTGGCTCATGGTCCCCAGGCTGTCGGGCTGGGGGCGGTACAGCATCAGGGGTACACGGGATGAGTCTCCAGGTCCCCTTTTGAAGAGGAGGACAAACCCCCGGAATCGATGAGGGGAAGAGAAATGCTGTGAACAGAGGCTGGGCAGACTCCAGGATGTGGAGGAGACAAACCCAGCCACAGCTCCTGTCTGGGGGATCCCCACGCTGGGCTGGGCTCCAGGGAGGATTATCCGCCCCTGGTGGGGATGAAACCACTSAAACCGCAGGGTTAGGGAGGGTCAACCTGCTGCTCGTGCAGTGAAATTCCATTAAAACCACCTCACGGAGTCTTGGATCGGGAAGGAATGGAACGAATTGAGGCTTGCCCGACTCAGGGCACGCATGGGCTTGCATGTAGCAGAGCTGCAGGAACCTCTCCATCCCCCGTACCCACTCGAACCTCCACTCAAGGAGGACTGACCCAGTTTAGTTTTGGGAGCACTGGTAAGCGAGTCCCAGCCATTCCTGGAGCGCTCCGAGCAAGTGGAAATTAAAATCCACTGAAGCCTCTTTACTAATTGCCACAGAAGGAAAATTATGCAACAGCCTGAGATCAACCCCTGGGGGGAGCTGACACCTCGAAACGCTCTCAGGGCTGGTGGTGGTGCCAGAAGGTACCAGCCTGCCCGGGAAGCCCAGGCCATGGCCGGGCGTGGTGCTGCCGGGGGGCTTCATTGGGCAAGGGCTGGGGATGCTGTGGGACCCCTACTCCCGGACCCCGCTTCGCTCCCTCCACAGCTCTCGGGCCATATGGGACCTCACGGAGCGGTCCCGACGGTCGCACCCCGCGGTCTTACCTGCTGGGGGTTCATGGGGAGTCCATCACCTCCTGCGCCCCGCGGGCGGCGGGGGATGCCCGGCCCCTCCGGCGGGCTCGGCCATGGCCGGGACCGGGGCTCACATTGCCGCTCTGCGGGAAAAACTGCTTCACACCGGCCCCCTACCCCCGCCGGGGGTTCCTCAGCCCCGGATGCGAGTCCCCAAGGTCCCCCACCCCCGGATACGAACCCTCCGCCCCCCCGGGAAGGCAAAACCCTCCCGGCCCCGGGTGCGAACCCCCCGCCGCTCCTGCGTGCGAGTCCTCCCCCGCCCCGGGGAGCATCCCCCCATCCCCGGCAGCGGCGACACGGCACGAACCGGACCCTCCCACCCCTCCGTGCCCCGTGCACCGGCCCCGGGGGCGGGGGCCGCTCCCCTGCCCGGCCACGGCGCGATCCGCCCCAGCACCGGCTGAACGGGCCCGGCAGGATCCACCGACCGCTCGGCTCCGCAGTGCGCCGCGATACCGCTGCCGATATCGATACCGCTGCCGATATTGATATCGCTGCCGCTTCCGATACCGATACCGCTGCCGTTACTGATATCGCCGCCGATACTGACAGCGCCGCTGCCGCCGCCCAGGCCGGGTCCTAGTGCCGCCCTCCCGGGATCGGGAGAGCCGCTGGATCCTAGTGCC